TGCACACCTGCCTCCCATTTTCCTGCCGCTCCCATCACTCACTGGCTCCAGCTCTCTGGCCCCATTTACCCTCCCTTCTCAGAAGACTTCCTCTTTGCATGGCTTTAATGACTTGACATCTCTTCTTTTTGTAAGGCCAATATTTCTTCTCCGAGCCAAGCACCAGCTGGAGATGTTTGCTTTTAGCAGGGAAGAAGAATAACAACCATCCCCAAGCAGCCCACAACGCTGCTTCCCGTTATCCTTCCCCCAGGCATTAGCGGAGAGGTGCTAAATAAATGAAGCAATATTAAGGCTCCCTCTGCCATAAGCACCATCCACTCAGTCCTGATAAATTGCTTGCAGTCAGATGCCAGCTCGCTGCTACAAGGAATTTCAGGACGAGGGCTGATTTGCGAGGGGGAAGCAAATGCCCCGCTCCCCTCTCGTTTGCACCGTGAAATATCATCAGCTTCTGCCTCCACTGTCCATGGGCACTGTGAGGAGCCCTGTGCGCATGAGGAGCGAGGCTGGGTCCTCCTGAGCCCGAGTCTCCTTCTGTTCCCGGTGTCCGACACCACTTGTGTGGAACGAGCCGCTCCAGGAGCACTTTCTAGCTGTGGTTCCCGGCAGAGAAGGGGTGCGATGCTGGCAGCTGCCCTCCACAAAACTGGCTTGCAGCTCCACAACCACCTCTGGAGGGGAGCTTTTGACAGAACCCGTTTGCTACCGCTGCATTGTTTCTCTCTCTGCATCTTCTCCTGCCGCGGTATCACCGCGTGCCACTGAGTGCCGCTCGCTCGGGAAGCGGTTCAAGAGCGCAGGGAGGGACACGCTTGCAAAACGCCCCCGGAGCACAGTGTGCTGACCCACGGTGGGCTTCTCCTGGGCTCCCTCCTGCCCTGGATCCCAGCAGGACTTGCAGCAAACATGGAACTTTGCAAAGCAGTTTTTTCTACTTCATATCCGCTTGGCTCTAAAAGGGGAGAATCTCAACAGGGCCTGGCAGTTGTCACCATTGCAGACAGTCACCATGCAGCGCCGGAGCACGAGAGTGAAGCCCAGGCACAAGCAAGACCCGGTCTGCTCCCTCCCGATTCCCCCGTCCCACCCGGAGCCAACCTGCACACACGGTTCTCCATGAGGGAGGCGATTCCTTCCCACTTGCCTTGTTTCAGAGCATAGAAAACCTAGAAAAAACAGCCCACGGCTCCCAGCACCCTGGAGCTGGCTATAAAAAAAAAACCATAATATACCACTGTTGCTCTCTATTTGTACTTAAAAGAAAAAAAAAAGAAAAAAAAGAAAAAAAAGAAAAAAAAAGAAAAAAAAGAAAAAAAAAGAAAAAAGAAAAAAAGAAAAAAAAAAGAAAAAAAAAGAAAAAAAAGAGGAAAAAAAAAGAAAAAAAAGCACAATGGCAGCTCCCTGTTTGCTTCAGACTTCTACAAGGGGGCTCCTTGAATAAATCTCTGTGGCAAAAACCAAGGCCACTATTTACAACAGGCAGCAGGAGTGTCCAACCAAAGCACCATTGCAGAAGTTGCATTTCTGGAGCACCCCGAGCACCTGCCTTTCAAACCACATGTCCCCAAAGCCCGACGTTGAGCCTGGCCATGAACTGCCCTTGACAGGCTGCTCTTGTACAATGGGGATACAAGAGCCCCATAAGAGATGGATAGTTTTTTCCCCAGGTGGGACATATCACAGAAAAGCCCGAGCAGCTGCGTTAGGGACAGGGTGACTCCTTAGGAGGACCCAGATGGCCAGGAAATCCACCTGCCGGCAGAGGGCAGCTCCCCAGTTCCGCACTGGGAACATGAGGCTTTGGAAGCAGCTTCCCTAAGGTCACGCTCTTGGCAAGCCCGATCTGAGACTTAGAATCATAGAATCCTAGACTGCTTAAGGCTGGAAGGGACCTCAGAGGTCATCAAGTCCAACCCCCTGCACACGCAGGGTCACCTGGAGCACGGGGCACAGGGCTGCATCCAAGCGGGTTTTAAAGGTCTCCAGAGAAGGAGACTCCACAGCCTCTCTGGACAGCCTGTGCCAGGGCTCTGGCACCCTCACTGTCAACAAGTGTTTCCTTAAGTTCCTGTGGAACTTTTGGTGCCTCAGCTTGTGGCTGTTTCCTCTAGTCCTGTCTTTGGCCACCACTGAAAAGAGGCCGGCCCCTCCTCCTCACTGCCTCCCTTGAGGTATTTCTAGACACTGATCAGGTCCCCCCTCAGCCTCCTCTTCTCCAGGCTGAACAGGCCCAGCTCCCTCAGCCTTTGCTCACAGGGCACATGTTCCAGGCCCCTGATCATCCTCGTAGCCCTGCGCTGGACTCTCCAGCAGCTCCACATCCCTCTTGTCCTGGGGAACCCAGCACTGGACACAGTCTCCAGATGTGACACAGTACTCCAGATGTGACACAGTTCTCCAGATGTGGCTCCCTTCCCCAAAGGGAGGCCAGCTCCCTTCTCCAAAGCGACGAGGACCTTCTGCTCACGTTTTTCACCTGCTCCCTCTGTCCTCCCGCAGCCGGCCCTCGGCAGCGTCCTCGAGCAGGGTCCCTGCGGAGGCGGCACCGCTGCGATCCGTCGCCGGCCTGAGGAGCCGACGCTGCATCCCGGCAGGCGCCATGTCACGCGGAGCGTCTCCCACGCGCGCGCCCGACGCTGCGAGGAGCAAGCGGAGCCCCCAGGCAGCCACTTCCTAATCCCAGCGCTCGCTTCGGCCTCACTCACGTAGCACCACTGTCACTCAAGAGCATCCATTTAATGAACAGGATGCAGGAAAGCTCAATAAAATTAAGATCTACGTGTAAACCATTCCTGTGACTTGGCAGCAAGAGGATGAGCTCAGCGCTGCAGTTTAGGGGCCAAAGAAGGTGTATTAAGCGAGTTAGACAAGTTACAGTGCCAGCAGCTAAAGAAAGGAGCTGCCAGCCCCAGGGCTTGCACTAGCTGCAGCTTCCATTACCCAAGCAGGTGCTTAGGGAGACTGAAGAAGGGCTTCCTGGCTCCTGCTGGCCACGCTTCCCAGGACGGATGGAGTCTGTAAGTCCCACGTACACCCATTGCAGCACAGGCTGACACTGTGATTTTAGAGCCCAGCTACAGCGCTCACCCGAGCCCAGAGCATCGCTTCTGCTGCTGGGGCTGCTCGCAGCGAGCCAAGAGGGCCCCAAAGGCACCGCAGCTCTGCAGCGAGGCTCGGGGCAGGGCGAGCGCAGGCTCCCCCAGCCAGCGCTACACGGGGCACAACTCCTGCCCATTCACCAGGCGGACCTTGGCAGCGGCGCAGAGAGGTTGGCAGCTTGCAAATGAAACAGCGAAGGCTCCTGCTCCCCAAAGCTCAGCGTACGCCGGACCGAGGCTCCATATCGTGCTGATGTTGGCTTGGAGCAGGACCAGCAGGGCTGTGCCCGGTTGGCAGGCAGCAGAGAGCAGGGAGCCGAGCGGAGACGGCATAAAGGTTATCCTGCTTTTAACAGCTACTGTCTTCCAGGAAACAGAAGAGTTTCAGCATCTAAACCCTTAACACTCAGAGCCAGAAGATGAGCCCCAGCAATGAATCCTCTGGCCCCAGCTGGAGGCAGAGGTTCATCCCTCATCCCGTCTGCACGAGCTCATGGGGAGAGCAGGAAAGCGCCGGCCCAAGGGACCTGCTTCCCCACGGCACAGCTGGGAATCGCTCCCCAGAAGAAGACAGCAGCGCCCAAGCAGCCCTGCAAGCAGCCCTGCAAACCAGGTCTCACCACGATAAGCCCCTTCCCCAGGACCACGCAGGCATCAGAAACAGATGCCCCAAGTTTCTAAAGCGGCACTTCAAGGAAGGTCATGTCAAACCTGAGCCATCAACCTGTGCCTCGGCACCCCCATCGGCTATGATGAAAGCGCAGCCTGTCGGTACTCACCGCTCAATCCGAGACCGCACTGTAGACAGGAAGAGGCAATTTAAACAGAAAAACGAACTTTTATGATGTTTTTTGGTGGCGTGACCCTGCTGAAGGAGAAGCACCTCCACGGAACCCCGGGGCTCTGCCTGCAGCCCAGCTCCCACACGCCAAGTCCTTATGTTAAACCTATTTGTCAGCATTCCCAAGGGAATTTCTACCTTTGCTTCCCAGATGAGCGCCAGCAGATTAGAGAGCAGCTGCAGGAGCCGCATCTGTCCCGGGCTCGCAGCGAGCAAAGACAGGGATCGCAGGGGGACAGAACGCACAGGGAGGTGCAAGCTTCTCCGTGCTGCTTTCACTTCAAAAGCAACCACACAAATTAAGTTCCCCCCAAGGGAGAAGCGCTTTGCACAGCGACGCAGAAACTCCATCAATTAAAGAGATTTTGTTTTTCTCATGTTGCCAGCACCGCGTTTACCTGCAGGTGAGACCTAACCACTGACCTCCCTCTTCCATCTTTCCTTCGCTGCCGGACAAAAAGGCTGATTCAGCCGAGCAGGGGCTCGAGCAGGGACAGATTCGGTGGAAGAGGCTGCAAACTGTCACCTCCGGCCCCGTTACCACTGCACCGTGCAGCCCCCGTGGACAGGCAGCCGCTGCACATCCCGCGTCACTACATCTGGCCCTGCTAAGTGCTCACTGCAGGCAGCACCACCGAGCGTTGTCTAATTCCAGCCATCATTTTTCCACATGGATAACCCTGGAAAGAGGCTTCCGACAGTCACGGACCTCCCCCTCTCCGGCTGTTGTTTCCAGTTGCTTACTGGCTGCAGACAGAGAACACTACCGGTTAGAAATGCAATTGTAAGGCTTCTATATACTGAAAATATCATGGTAAAAATACCACCAGTTAGAAATGCAATTGTAAGGCTTCTATATACTGAAAACATCACGGTAAAAATTAAGTGCCCCAACAAAGACATTCCAAAAATGGTAGAACTTTTATTCTCCTCAATACAGACATTCTTTACAGCATAAGGTCTTCTTAAAAAAAAACAAAGCAAAACAAAAACAAACCTATGTACATACATATATAGTATTGTGCATTTCGGCATATACCCCTAGCTTCTCTAGAAAAGGAGAAAAATCAATGTATAGAGAAATAAATCCTCACAGTCCATTCCCGCAGCACAGGCTCTTTCTTAGAAAGATGCCCACTGCCCACGGGGTCAGAGCAAGGTGCTCGTTACAACCCCTGCTGCCTCGTCCAGGTCTTGCTTGTGCAATAGCTTCACGTCTCGTGTGTGTGCATAAGTAGCATGGACAAACCTGGAGCAATTGCTTCAATTGCAGGAGACGGATGCCGCCCATGAGATCAAATAAGTCCCGGGCACTGTAGTTTAAAGATGTAAAATCGCTTTAAACACAATTTTGCAGAGTAAACGGCGCACACATTTTATTAGGAGACGTGATGAGTCAGCTTCACAAGTCCTCAATACCTTATCACAACACTTAGGTTAAAAAAACCAACAAATCTAAGTTAGAGTCACTCAGCTGTTTCCCAATAAATTCTTACAGCTGACAAAGAGGTTTCTTTTTTTTTTTGCACACAGTTTTAAAGCGTTATAAAGAGCTACCTGGGGAACGAATTAGTGTTTCAAAACCAAGTTACAAATCTATAAAACAGATTAGTATACTTCACATAAGGCCACAAACACTGCAAACTGCCAGCGTGACTATTTAGGATCATTAAACTTAAATCTTTTAATTAGCATGAGCTTTATATCTCCATTACTTATTTTCAATTCCAGGAGGAGAGGAAGACAGTTTTCTATGCCTCCCAGGAGGAAGAGTGCCAGAATCCCCCGGAAAAGGGACGTTCTGCTAATTGAACATACAGGTATTGGGCTCGCCTCATCTGATACCATTTGAGTCTACTGAGTGGGCAACTACCAAACGGTTTAGAGACAGTAAAAAGGCATGCACAGCCAAATGCACTCAGCAGAGCTGAGAACACGACTCTGTGGTGCTGGAGRACTCACCCGAGCTGCAACTTCCAATGTGCTTTGGGAAATCCAATTGCTACTCCCTGGTGTTTTGCTGCTAAGCTTTAACAGCTCAAGCACAAACAGCACGTGTGAGAGCCAGTTCTAAACAGACCCGCAGCATTGCCAGTTTTTTGGGGTAAATAGCTTCTGAAGCGAAATTACAGACACTGCTTACCTTGACATTGCGGACCACTGCTTTCAGCYCCAGTCTTAAAGTGCAAAACTTTATTATAGAGTCTTTGGGTAAGAAGCATCAGTTGCCACATGGGGCTGGCAAAGCAAAGGCCAGACCACCCGGATGACCGACAGCTGCGAAAGTCTCACAGACACGCACAACAAAAGCAAGATCTCTGCTCCCGCTTGGATTTTAGCACTGCTCTCCTCCTCCCGGCCTAGGCAGGTGATGTGCTGCTCAAGAAATAGGGAGTTATTCACAGTTGTGCTTGCTGTTATTTTGCAGCTGCAGACCTTCGTCTAGAAATACATACATACAGTGACTTTGGTGTTGCATAGGCTTTTTTTCAGAGAGGAAAAGGCACTGCTGAAGGTTGTTCCACTGGTGTATTGCCATCTAATACTGTAGATGCTCTCCACACCTTTCAATAATATATGTAAACTGTAACGGCTACGAATAAATACGTTTAAGAGCATCTCATGGTTTAGGTAAGAGCAAAGTTAAAAAACACCCCCTGTATTAGATTTCTAAAGCTTTGGTCTAAACTGGGCTGTAGTATCATCCGACTTGGTGAAGACCTCCCTCAGAAGAGCTCCTTGCATACAGCACCCAGAACAACATGAATTCAGTCCATAATCTGTTAGTGGTTATTCTATTGYGAACCGTTGGATGCACCTGACCTCAAAACATGAACAGATCATCCTTCTCACCCGTCTTTGAATCTATTTTGTTCCAGTCCACAGGTGAGAGCATTTCTGCACTCTGGATGTCCTGAGACGTCAGTCCCGTGTCAAGAACATGAGGGTTTGTCCTCGACTGAGCAAGTCTAAGAGGGGAGACAAAAGAAAATAAGGTAAGAATAGGCGCAGCCAGTTATAGCCTGGGTGCTCGATGCACCGACAACTCAGAATCCCAGTTGCCTTCCCCACTCCAAAGTCTTCCACTGAAGAGGCGTAATTCCATGAAGGGGAAGGCTGGATCAGAGCATTTGCAGCTCTTGGGTCTGCAACAGCTTTTCTGCTAGTTTACCATAACATTAGGCTACCTGCACATATACTTTGTAAAAAAGTATAAGATAAACAAGAAGAACGAGCAGCAATGCTATTCCATGGGGAACACATTTAAACGCATCCTCCCTGGCCGATGCGCAGCCCAAGCACCGAGGCACCAGAAGGCCAAGGGCGAACCCGCAGCTCAGCATCCAGCAACGCAAAACAAGACCACAGCCAATGATGCCGGCTTAATTAAGCTGGGCGAGGAAGAGAGGTGAGGAAAAGAGACGACATTAAGATGTAAATTCAAGTAGTCTCTTTATCAAACGTGACTAGAGGCAGGGCTGCCGTGGAAGTGGAAGCTGTAAATCATTCCCAAGACCCAAACAAGACACGAGGGCTCATTTCCTTAGGGCTGAGCATGCGCTTCTTTGCTCTGCTCTCAACTCCACACAAGTGGCAGGGCTGAGTTAAGCCCTGGTACCTCCCCAGCTCAGTTAGTCCAAACTCCAGGTGAGGAAGGGAGAAGTTCCCAGCACAGAAACCWGGTCCCTGTTGCTGGGGCTGCAAACGGGCAGCCTCCAACCACGCACTCAAGCAGGAGCAGACACGCAGGCTGCTTGGGGAATTAAATTCCCTATCACATACAACCTCTCTCTCTCCTTAAAAGGTTGTCAAAATATTTGACTTATCAGCCAGCCTCAAAGCCTATCTTTCAATTAACAGCTGAGGCACGGATGGGGCAGCTGCCTAGGTCAGATGATAGTGGCTGATTAGATTAGAAGCATTATTAAAAACCAGTCACCAGTCAAGGCTCCTGAGCCGGTCCCCGACGGCATGGGCTTGTAAAGAGAGTTGTTAGAATTACCTTGAAAAYGCTTCGTCGAGACCATCATCCATTTCCTTTGTTAAGGAGATAAAAAGAGAGAGAAGTAGTTGCTAAGTGAACGTACAAAAGTGTATTTAGAGATCTAGTTCCGCGCTGAGTGCGACGGACAAAAAYATATATATATATGTACTGAGTTGCCAGCGCCTGAAGCAATGCTCGTATCGGTAACCTGCCTCCTCGGGCAGGTTTTGGCTCCCCCTCTGCACAAGCTACGGGATAAGGGATGTGCGGAGGGTGCAGGGCTCCTCGGAGCAGAGCCCGGAGCTCAGGCTGGGGATGTGACACCCACTTCGCCGGCCAGCAGAGATGACCAGGGTGGCCCTTTCCCAGCCAGGCCAGTCCTACCCCCACCTGCATGGGCTGCCCATAAGCTCCACAGCAGAGACGCTGCAGGAACTTAGCCCTTAGCACCCACCCTCCCGCGAGCGGAACCTCTTATCCCACTGATCCATGTCAATGGGAATGCCAGGAAGACGGGCAACAGYGGGGACAGCCTGGCACCCACAGCCCGCTTCGACAAGGAGCTCTTGCTACRTGCTGTGTCTTTACACCTTTGAGGACGGTGCTGGCAGAGGAGATGTAACCTCAGGTTTGGAAGCAGCACAAGGACAAAGACCCGCTGGAGACCCCAGGAAAGCTCTTCATTTTGCCTAGTCTCTCAGAAGGAGCCAATAGCCCCAGGCTCCCAGCTTGAGAACTGCCACCTTGTTCCAAGCTCGCGCAGAGCTTGTGCCAAAGCTCAAGTCTCTGCCAGCCCCAAGCTGCTCTTTGCTCGGCGCGAAGCAGAAGATGCCACTCTGACTGAAAGCATCTGCTCGCTCTTTATGCAGAGACACGTTTTGGGCAGAGCTGAACGCGAGCGGCAGGCAGCAACCTAGGGCTSAGCAAGGCAAGACGCTGCCCTCGGCTCCTCCAGCATCCACCACGTGACCAGGGAAAGCCACGGGATTTTGCTGAGATGAGGGACCTGGACACAGCTCACCAAGATGCTCTGGGCATCTCCTGGGGCCCTGGTGGGCTCAGGAACCTGGGAGGCAATAGCGTGAGCTGGACCTGGGCTGCTTGAAAGCAATCCCTAGATCCCTTCTTGTCGTCTGTTCTTTGATATTTTCCCTTGGAAAGCATTTGAGTTACTAGGGAGATAGGCTTTCCATGCAGGATGGGCTTTCAGAGGGCTTTGCTATGGACTGATCTGACACTTCAGCAGGGCTCCTGAAACCTTGGGATGCACTTAGAGACTTGGTTTAATATGTAAAAAACTCCGCAAGAGGGGAGCTATCAGAGATTGCTGATAAGTCTCTAGGATTTCATATGCCATAAAGTTGATTTTCAGGTTTAACCCGAAAAGCCTCAGGCTCAGACCCGGCARACTCAAGAAACAGGCTCCAGGCAAAGGCCTTTATCATTCAGCTCTCCAAAATTTAGCAGACAGTTTGTTTCCAGGGAGGGGATGCGGCAGGGACAGAGCCTCGGGCCAGGTGTGGCTCAAGGATCAGCCCTGGTCGGGTTGGTGATGGAGCGTTTTTACGCAGAGGTGATTTCGGTGTGGATGTGCACCCCAATGCAGGTCAGTGCACCCCAATGCAGGTCAGTGCACCCCAATGCAGGGGTCATTGCTCATGGTCCAGGACACAACTAAGCGGGATACTTTGGGACATTCTGGAGCAGCCCCCCATGCTCACACAAGCCCAACCCAGCCACAAACAAGAGCAAGGGAAAATAAGAGCAACAACGAACATAAATTTAACCTGGTTTTAGTGAGCAGTAAACCAAAGCCATCAGCATAATGAATTTTCCCCCTGAATAGAGCAGTTAGGTGGTCTCAATTAAGCGACAAACCACCGAGAAACGCTGTTCGAGAGTAAGTAACATCCAATTATCTGACAGTGGCATTTCTCAGGCTGGCTTGCCATCTTTTCCATTTATTTACTGGGCCTAAAAGGGCRCTGGGAACATGAACACGAATCCATCATTTCTAGCAGGACACCGAGACCCCGTCTACCCAGGCGTGTGTGATCCCTGAAACCTGCAGAGCAGCTCGGTGGGCCAAGGGCTCCCCGAGGGTTTTGTCCAGCAGAAAAGGCTGGAGCAGAGGCTGGAGCAGAGGCCGAGGGGCGGAGAGCGTGGCTGCCCGCGGCACCTACCCACACCACGTTGTTGTTCACCGCGGAGCCGGGCCCGAACGCGCGGCTGTCCGGACGCGCGGCGCTCGCGCTGACCGTCACGGGCGGCTTGGCAGAATCTTCTAAATCCAGCAAGTTCCCCGTGGCCACTGCTGCGAACGGAGCAGAGAGCGAATTAGGCAGGAAGGGGGAAAACAGAGACAACACAAAAATGATCCTTTTTGCAGCAATTGCTTCCCCTCGAGGGGAAAGGCAGGAATAGCACCGAGTTCTTTCAGTGCGGCCCCAAATTTTGGCATGAAGGAGCCACGCTCAACCCATCTGTGGCTGTAGTTTCAGCCCAAATAATTGGAGATGCTCTGATTAGGCATCCAAGACTCCCTCKGTCATATAGGGAGGCTCCTGGTTACCTGCTGATGCTCAGGATGAGCCAGGATCACCCCGAGCAAATGGAGACAGAGCATTGAGCGGGAAGGTTGGACTAGATGATCTCTAGAGGTCCCTTCCAACCTTGAATATTCTGTGATTCATTTCCAGGTGCTTTAGAGCCCAGGACGGAGAGGAAAACAGTAAGGACAAGGTGGGAAGCAGCAGTGTGTGSCCAGGCAGACCTCAGAGCACATTTCCCACCTCAGTGGCAGCCCCGGGTCTCAGCAGGGCTTTTATCCCAATCTGCCACCACTTACAACAGATTCTTTCAGTCCTGGGCCTTCAGGTGAAGCAATGAGACATGCCAGCCTGCAAGGAAGCCGGGTTTAATGCTCTTTTTCTCAGTGCCAAATCCTCTTATCTCCGTGGCCAGCAAGGAAGAAAGATTAGCCTTTTGTCCCACTTCTTTCTGGCAGCAGCCGACCACGGCCAGGCACTGAATCAGGATGGTTGTCACCATTTATTTGTTTTGTTTTTGCCTGCCTCTCCTTCCTCAGAGGAGCCACAGGCAGAGTGGCACCTGGATGTCGCTTTTTTCCAGCCAACAGAAACTCTTGGGCTCGGCACCAACCCAAAAGCAAACATGGGATATGAGGGTCAGGGGTCCACACCAAGCTCCTAAGGACATTAGGAGTGGACAGATCGGGGGCAGGAGGCAACTGTGTGTGAGCGGGTGGGCATCTCTGCAGACTTAGACAAGACTAAGCCCAGCAAATACTAACAGGACTGAAGTTCTTGGTGCAGCTCTCAGCACTGCTGGCAGCTCCTGGCCCATCACGTGCTGCACAAGCACCAGGCAGAGCCGYGCGGCTCCGAGAGACACTTTCCTACCTGAACTTTCCTTCTTACTGAAGCAAAAAAAAGATATTTAAGGGCTCTGCTGTGATGAGACCTGCCAGGCAGCCGCTCTGTCCCAGGGCAGACATCTCTGCTGTTGCAGAATCACAGAATGGTTGAGGTTGGAAGGGACCTCTGGAGATCATCTAGATCTCCAACCCCGCTGCTCCAGCAGGGACACCCAGAGCAGGGGGCACAGGGCGGCATCCAGGTGGGTTTGGAAGCTCTCCAGAGAAGGAGCCTCCACAGCCTCCCTGGGCACAAAACACTCTCTGGGTTACAAAACTGTTTGGTCTTCACTGATCTTCAGAGACCTCTCAGGCTCCCCCAGAGCCGAAAGCAAAGCTCTCCCGTTGGTGACTTACGCGCTTTGCGGCAGGCAGGAGCTTCAGCATGTGGGCTGCTTGCACCTTCTCCTTCCAGCATGGACCTTTCCCGCTTCTCTTTCTCTGCAGAAGGAGGAGATCCATCATTACCTGACAGGCTCACRACAGCATGAGACAGTGTCACTGTGACAAGGCACATCCTTTGGTCATTCCTCTGCAGGAGGGATGAATCTGGCAAGGCCAATTTGCAGCTCCAGACAGCAAAGACCTCCCTGGTTTCCTGCAGGGACCTTTGGAGGATGCCTTATATCTGGACCTAGCATAGTCTAGAACGGCACCAAGCCTCCTTCTCTGAATCCTGTTCGTTGGGGTGAGTCCCGCGAGGAGCACAGATGGGCCAAGGATGGTTAGGACAGGCCGTGGGGTCTGTTCYGCCCAAACACACCCAAAGCTCTGCGTGTGTAATATAAACTTTTTCACAACAAAAGCAAAAATATTGCCAYAGGCAGAGGTCTGAAACACCACAAATCAGCACCAGGGCCTCCAAAATCCACTTGTGAGAACACAGTGCAGCCAAAATCCAGATGGATTTATGGGGCTGTGTACAGGAATTTGGAAGATGCCTTAAATCATGCCAGAGGTTGGACCCCTTAAGAGCTGCCTGGGAACTTGAAGGGTGATGCAGTGCGAAGGGAGGAAAAAGACGCTTGCAAGCTGGATAATCCCAAACTCATCCCTTCAGCTTCCACGAGAAGAGCAGAAAGAAGAAAACTCACCTTCTTTGGATGCTTGCCAAAACTCGAAGGCTATTTTGAACGCCTGAGCTACCGTCAGGGTGACTGCTTGGGCCTGGAACGAGAGCCGGCGGGTGGCAYGTTAACAGACAGCTCCTCACGTAGGTTGACATCACTCGCAGGTTTTGCTTTGCTGATCCATGTCAACCTGGATCCAACCAGGCCTCTGCTCTGCCCCACAGAATCACAGAAGGGACCTCTAGGGATCATCTAGTCCAACCTTCCTGCTCCAGCACCCAGAGCACGGGGCACAGGGCGGCATCCAGGTGGGTTTTGAAGACCTCCAGAGAAGGAGCCCCCACAGCCTCCCTGGGCAGCCTGTGCCAAGGCCCTGGCACCCTCACAGCCAAGAAGTTCCTCCTCACCTGGAGAAGGAAGTTCCTGCATTTCAACTTACACCCATTTCCCCTTGTCCTGTCACTGGCCACCAATGAGAAGAGCTTAGTCCCACCACCAATTCCCAAGCCAAGAGCTTGAGTAGCATTAAAAAAACCCCCAAAAACACAACCTTAAATAGCCAGAGTTGCTTAAGAAAGGTAGACAGCGATACAAAAGCTAGACTCATTAGAAGAGGGCCAAGCTTAGGAGCAGTTTCAAGTGCAAGGAGATAACAAGTAATGCTTTGCAAGGCTGACACTGGAGAAGCCTTGAGGCTTCCATTTGTCTCATAAAGCTGCAAGCCAAACAAATGCAGATCCCGGAGCCTGCAGCCCTGCTYGGTCTCCCATGTAGACCACGCAGAAGATCTAGCTCAGAAAATACTTCTCCTAAGAGCAAACAYGCTTCCATCGGAGCGGGAGAGGACGGGGAGAACCTATCGGCGCCAATTAAGCCTCACAAAGCAGGAGAGCTCGTTTGAATGTCGGAGCTATTTACATCTTTGATGGAAGTGCAAACGCTTTATGGCAAAAACTTAAATATGGTAATTAAGTATGAAACTCCTCACAGCTGTTTACAATTTAAGCTGTCACATYTGAATCAAGTTTAATAGACCCAGCTACCGTTGAGAATTACCCGTGAACTAAAAATATGGACTAATTATATGGCAGTGAGTGGATGCTATACATACAGGCAGGGCCCCTGCCCGCGGGTAGGGACAGTCCATGGTCTGGAAGCAGGGCATCACTTTACCTTCTATCAGCATGACATTCATGCACTTCAGAGACAGACAAAGAAAAAAAAACTAGTTTTTGCCACAAAAGGCCTTGTAGAATTTTGTTTGGAGGGAGACGCACCGAGCTGATGTACCACTGAGATAATTCTTTTAGCACTGGCGAGATTTAAATTTTAATTTGCAGAGGGAGGCTTATCTTTGCGCTGCAAGGATGGCAGCGTGCGCCACAAAAAAAAAAGGAGAGACAACTTGTAGCTTTCATTATTCTCTCCCCAGAAAAACGAAACGGGAGCTGGGAGAAGGATGGAATATTAACCGGGCTGCGCGTTGCCCAGGGCTCCGCAGCCCCAGCCCCTCTCCGCTTGCTCCTCCTGGAGCCGCATCCCAACCGCTTGCTCCGCACTGACCATTTTCCGCTTGGTACAGAGGAAGGCATGGCACTCCAGGTTCTCGTTGAGCTGGTTCTGGGCGATGTAGGCAAACACTTTGTCGTGGATCTTGTCTGCCGTGCAGTAGGATATCCTGGAAGACAGAACGAGACGTCTTGTCCGGAGCTCTGCGCGCAAGGGGCATCGAGCAACCCCCCCGAGCCGATGGCAAACGGCCACCTCACGGCTTGGAGCCCCAGGGCCGAGCAGGGAAGGAGGAGGGAACGCCGGAGCGTGACCGAGCTTTGRCACACACCTTCCTAAAGCCAAGAGCGGAGGAGTCGGCGCCGCTCCGGAGCACCCCCGGTCGGGACCTTAGCAAACACGAACCATGTGCACCACGCACAGAGGCCGGAGAGAGGAGAAAATCCTCTSTCTTGTGGGAAAGGAGAGGGTAGAGGAGTGAAGACTCTGCATCATGTCAGTCTGGGACTATGTCTACAAAACGCCCTGCCTTCCGAAGAAGGAAGATGGAAAATTTCCCTTGGCGGAATAGCTTGAAAGGAGACAGAAGGACCTGTTTCGAGACTACAAATTAATCCTAAAGCTCCCTTGGGCTTTCTCAAACCGAGGAAATGGATGTGGGAGTGCCCAGGAGGAGCCGTGGCGCCGGCTGGGGCTGCCGGGCACGCAGGAGCGGGCGCAGCGCGACGCGGGGCGGCTCAGCCTCGCTCGGAGCAGCACCCCGCCATCCTCCAGCTCCATGGAATCCACTCCAGGACGCTCTGGAAGAGGCCAACGTGTCCGGAGACCCCGCTCCCTCCTGCGGGGTGGCGGGTTCCTCGGCCCGGTGCCATCCACCCCCTCTCCCCGGCTCCGTCACACCGGAGCCACGGGCCGGAGACAGCAGGATGGAGGAAAAAGCGGGATGTTTTGGTGAAAGTTCCCGCATCGCCCATGCGGCTCCAGCTTTTCTACCCAGGAGACTTCCCAGAGAAGAAAGAGAAACRTCCCGGTTCCCTGCAGATGTTGGAGCTCAAAAAGCCACATTCAAAATTCATTTACAGCGCATTAGCTTCCTCCCGCGCGCGCGGAYGCCTCTGCACGGTGGCCTATATTTTGTCTCGCAGCGCTGTGCCGCACACTGGACTCAAGAGGCTGCAGGATAAACCTCCCAAAACACCGCTTTGCCCAAGGCTCGGCTTGCACCGGGCTCTCCACGAGCTCGGCAGGATCAAGTTCACCACCATCGCGCCYGTGTTCACGGCTCCTTCGCCTAGTCCTGCCCTTCAGCGGTAGGTTTTTCTCCTAGTGGGGGTGGGAACCTCAAGTCTGGTGGTTTTGAGCATCTGCTTAAGTGACTGGAAAGAAGTGAGCAGGTTAGTGGTCCTGTTAAGAGACTGTGCTCCGGACCAGAGCTCCCCATTCCATGCCTGGTGAAGGCAGATGATGCAGCAGGGTGAAGGGCAGGAAGCAAAGCGTGTTCGGGGTAAGGACACACAACATGACAATGGCCAGACTCGGGCTTCGCTCTGCTTCTCCAGGCCTCTATCTGCCTCCAACAGAACATTTTCAGAAAGAGATACTTGCAAAAGCTACAGTAATGGATACGGGATAAGCCAGCCTTGTCTTCCCYTCCCCACACTAGTATCCAAGTCCTTGAACGAGTCCCAGCAGTTGTCCAAGTCTTGCTCTTTGGAGACCTCAGAGTGACGGGAGCGAGGGGAGGGCAGTCCAGGCTCCTTCCCCCAGCTTTGCTTTACTTTAAGACACAAGAGCCAAAGCCCCGTTGGCTCAGGCCTGAGTCAAGATCAGAGACGGCCACACAACCTGCCCAGGCAAGGGCTCCAAATCCAGCAGAAATCAGCCCATCTCCTTCAACCAAAGCAGATGAGGAAGGTGCAGGGTATGCAACACACCCCGGAACATACCTGTATATGGAGATGTTTTCTATCAGCTCATTCGTTCCRCTATCATTTAACACAATCCCTCTGGGAGAGACTTTCAGAGTGACTTTTTGCAGCTTCTTGCCACTTGCTTTAGCCTTTGGAAGGAAAGGAGGGAGGAGGAAAGTTATGGGCTTTTAACACGGCAGCACCCAAAGCAGCAGAGCAGATCAGTTACTCCAGACACATTCCATCTAATAGACATATTAATAGCACTCATTAGTACTAGGCTGAATTTACGACCAGGTGYGATAAGGCACTTGTTAAAACTTTGCCATCCCTGAAGCACAGATTTATGTTGGCATTAGCAAGATAAGGACATGCTCCCTCCACCCCAGACAACACACGGGTAATTCACATCCAGTATCTCCAAGAAGAGGATTTCACCGGGGCAATGARCCCAAGGAAGAGGCTGGGCTGGCCACGCCGGGCAAGGCCAACAGCATTTGGTGAGACACTGCAGAGCTCTRTCCTTAGGAGCACAGTGAATTCCTGTGCCAAGGGAGCCGGGTCGTGAGCAGGACGGTCCCGCGGGAGCTGGTTTCACGGCACACCGGCTTTCTGCTCCCAGTGCGGCGCGTCACAGCTGCCCATCAGCTCCATCTCGCCAAAGGGCAGAGGAGGGTGGSTGAAGCCCCTGCATCAGTTCTGCAGAATCACCCCTCTCTAATTTTTCAGCCTTTGGCACAAATCCAATAAAAGCTGGAAACGCTGCTGTAGACCAAGACCCTCCATCCCGCTCTCCTGGACCGCACCGGAGTGGCCTCCAGCTCGGCCTGGGGGCAGCCCTGCCCCTCCGAGGCCGCCTTTATTTAAAGGCTCCATCCTGGGTCGCTCCGAGCAGCCGAGCAGGGCTCTAACAGCAGCTGCTGCTTCATGCAGGCCGCTTGCCTCCCCGCTCAGCACGTGCCAGGAAAGGATCCTCCATCACCCAGTGCASTTCACCACCCCATTGAGCTTTACGATGGTTAACTGTACAGTTGGGTCTCTGCCTCGTTCAGTTTTATAAGGGCTTWAAAAAGCATTAATTTTACTCAGAGAGCCTGGCAAACAAGGGCTCTGCACCGGAGGACGGCTGCCCATCGCTGCCGCCTGYATCAGGGCTGACGGCAGAGCTCGTGTCTATATTGCCTGCGAACTGAAGCAAATTGTCCCAGTTCCTTCCCCTCCTAACTCTCCAAACTCTGGGAAGAAAAAACAAAAGCCAGAAACAAAAGCCAGGGCACAAGCCCAGGACTYGGTTACGTGATGATACAAAATGCTGCCCCTGCCCTGCATGCAGAGAGACAGCCACGGCGAGGCTGATTTCACCAGCTCAGATGCTGCTTCCAGGGCCAGCCCAGCTTATCAAGAGGAGCAGAGCTCAGACACGTACTATCACCTTTCTGCAGCCTGGCCGTCGACTGGGCTAGTGCTAGCCCTGAGGTTTTAACGCTGCACTCTGTGGGTCTGTCCGTCCTGCCAGACGCATGCCAGGCCCCCGTCACCTCTGAAAGGGCCAGTCCTCACGSCCATCTCCCCGAGGCTGCAGGCAGAGGAGCCCCCCGGGCGCTCCGGGACAAGCGGCCGACACGGACACTCACCGTGGCTACGATCCTTTTGACAGCGGCGGCAGAGAGCTCCTCTCCCTTGGGCTGCTCCACCAGCGTCATGCCCATGTACTTGAGCCTGAAGAGCATCCCCTCCAGCAGCGTCTCGCGGGTATCGGTCCAGTTCTCTGGGAGCTCTGAAGAGGCAACAAAAACGATCCTAGATTCCTAAACACGCAGGGATTCCTGCTTTGGGCCCACAAAAAGCATCTCCATATGTGGCTTGGGTGATACTCTGTCACCTGTTCACCTGCAGGAGATGGCAGGGTGCCTCCCATRACAGCCTGTTGTCACCATGTCTAAGAAAAGCCTACGAGGAGTTTGTGAGCGAAGGGAATTCCTGCCCTTTGCATCCGAGCCCTGATGCCCGTTTCCACCTCCCGTGGTGCTGCAGGGAGCTGGGCTTGGCACCGGGCTTACGGCACTTGGCATCACCACGGGAGCGTCGCCGCGCGGGCCGGGCTCCAAGCTCCTTCCGACCTGGAGGCCAGGGCAGATGTGCTGGGCAGGTCCCGGGCAGCAAAGCGAGCTCTGCCTGTGCCCCGAGCCCGTGGGCTCCGGGCCRGCTCCCGGAGCGGCCGCACACGCAGTTTAACAGGAGGCTGAGCCGACTCGGAGCATCCCAGTGCTGGAGAGGGCTGGCGGCTGGTTCAGGCTCTCCAGCCTCCCAATCYGCAGCTCTCGCCGCTGCAGGGAGTCCTGCTTCAAGGCAGCCCCACAGGCGCAGCCCYGCTGGACCCTTGGGAGCCCCTTGGCCACGAGCTCCGTTCCGCTCCCGCGACACAAACACGGGATGCCCTCCGGGTCTGCGGCAGCCCGGGCCGGCACCACCGCATCCGGGTGGTCCTGGCCACGCTCAGCATCTCCTGCCCCTGCCGGCTGAAGCGCTGGTGAGGCAGGTGCCGAAGGCGCCACCGTGTCCCCCTTCACCACCCTGGACCTGCCACGTCCCCCTGCACCACCCTGGGTGCTCCGGGACAACGAGCAGGTGCAGCAGCCCCGCGCACGCGGCTCGTGCTGGCCCGGAAACGCGGCTCGTTGCCGCTCACCACTGAAGTGCTCTCTGGAGGGAGCCCGGGGTCAGGCAGCACCCCAGCGTCCCCGGGGACGCGCTGCCGAGCGGGGCTTCTGCCCGCAGCGAGCGCCRCAGGAGCCGGGGACTGGTGATAAAAGCAGAGCTCGCTGCCGAAGGTGAGAGGGCAGGAAACCACAGGGCTGTGCACATCGCAGCCTTTGGGCTCAAACGGCGTAAACAGAGCSGAGGAGCTCGCACGCACTCCTCCACACATCCTGCTCCGCAGGGCTGCTCACCGCTTTATCCCCCTGCACTTAATGCAAGCAAATGCACTTAGCCTCCGCCTAAGCGCAGCTTAGGCCACCAAGGCAACCAAGGTGGTGCCGGGGACGGGCAGGTCTGCAAGGCTGCCTGTGACACGGAGCATGAGCGGGCTCGGGAGGGCTCCCAGCCCCGAATCGAGGGCAGCTTTGCTCTCAGGTCACCACGCAGCACATCCATCAGACGTCCCGCAAGGCCACCTACCAAACGCACCCGTCCCCGCGCTGAGAGCGAGCAGGGAGCCGGCTCCAGAGAAGCCCTAAAACTCCAGGATTTCATGCTCTGCAGCTAGTGGCCTCCTAATCCTTACAGAAAGGCACAAAGATCCAGGGTAAATCTCATCAGGAGATTAGCAAAATCAAGAAGTTGGATGCTGGGCACCAAGGTCTCGCAGCACGGGTGCTTTCTGCCTGCTGGGACACCCGCACGGGGCCACCAGGTTTCCACGAGCAGCCAGACTGCACGCAGCTCGGCACGTCCTTTTAGCAACCCTGCTGCTCCTCAGAGCACACAAACCACCCCAGAGCCCGGGATCCGTCGGGAAAGTGGGATTAGAGGGACAAGCTACAAGCTACAGTGGGCGAAATCACTTTTCTCCCAGCTCTCRCTGACGATGGGGCGGAAGGTACCAGGGAGCTGCTTGCACTGCAATTACAGCCGCTGCCCAAAGCCCCTAAGGAATGCAGCACGGGAGCGCCCGATCTGGACACAGGAAAGCGCTGCCCTGTGTCCTGCACGCGGAGAAAGTCACTTGTGTCTGGACCAGAAAAAGATAAGAGCAAAACTGCAGATATCTTGAGGGGACAGCGCGGAGCCGGCGCCGACACGGRGTGGGAAGCTGGGCACAAGCYGTGCCGTCCTGGCGCGTCCCGGCGGCACCGAGCGAGGGCCAGGGCAGCCGGGCTGCAGCAGGAAGGCGCCGGGCTGCTCGGCACCGCGCGCACATGCGCTATCACGTGCCGGAGCAGGCAGGGGAATGAGGCCAGAAAATGCCTGCCGGGCGCTTTGGGCTCCAGCCCTCTCGCTCGCGGTACCTGCCTTGCTCGGAGGCGCCCTGAGAAGCCAGGAAAATAATAATAAAAGAGCAAGACGTGGGCAGGACATGCGGGTGCCAGGGGACAGCGCGGGCGCTGCAGAGGGGTGTGTTGAGGATGGAGGTGGGAAGCGTTCGCCAAACCCAAATCCCTTCCTTTTTCCACCCCRGTGGGGAGGGATTTCTAAGGCACCCGGGGGGGTGTCCCATGACCCCCCTGCCACCTCAGCCCCCAATGCCCCCCCTGGCAGCAGGGCAGGGACGTGGCCCTCCCGCTCCCAGCACTGGACCCACCGAGCCGGGGAAGGTGGGTTGGGGGGTGCAACGGGGAGGGGCGGGAACATGGGGGAGAAGGGGCTACGGAAAGAGGGGAAAAAGGAATAAAGTAGAGAAGGACACGGGGGTGCAAGGGGGACACCTTGGAAAGGGGATGCAAGAGGAGGGAAAGGAAGTACAAGGGGGGACTTGGTGGAGGAAAACTAGGAGACGAAAAGCAGCAGCAACAAGGAGGAGGTTACAGAGGCGCAGGGAGCAAAGCCGGGGGTGAAAACTGGCTGCAAGGGGGAGAAAACGGACCTGGGAAAAGCAAAGATAGAGCCGGGGCGGGGGAGAAAAGCAGGGGTGGAAGCGGAGCAGGAAAGGAGACGGGGAAGGGGGTTAAAGCGGTGGGAGGGGGACGGAGCCTCACTGTGGTGGCGGCCGCCGGCCCAGGGCGCCTTGGCCGCGCTGGGGCTCCGCAGCAGCGCGCGCCCCGCCGACTTGAGCGCGTCCATCCCGGCCCGCCGGCCCCAACTCCGCAAACTTTTCCTGGCGCCGCCCTCGGCGAGGGATGATCGCGTGTGGGAAGGGGGAGGCGATAACTATGTAAATGCGGCCGCCCGGGGCCGTGACGTCCCGGGCCGGCCTGGCCCGCCTCGAGCCCGCGGCCGCCCGGCGCGGGACTCGAACCCGCGGTCACCCGGCGCGGGACGCGGGACTCGAACCCGCGACTCGGGACTCGAACCCGCGGGCCGCGGGGCCCCCCACGTGCCCCCATTTAATTGGGTGCCCCACGCAGGGACACGCGCGGGTGCCCCCGCGCGTCACCGCCGTGCCCAGGATGCTCTTAATGCCGCTTGAATATAAGTGTGGGGAAGATTAAGGCCTCAAAGGCTTTTTTTTTTTGAAATTAAAGGGATAATAACGAGGAGGTTAAACCCCCTATTTGGGATTTGTGGAATAATGCCTTGCAAAGCCTATTATGCACAGAAACTTTTGTGCGTGTGTGCCTGTAATTGAAAATTTCTTTTTAGTTAAATTTTAATATTTTTCCCTTCCGGCTGCAGCTCGGAGGCCTGAGCTACAGCGGGAGTCAAGCGGCCAAAAGGCCGAGACCAACAGCCGCTCTCTCCTGCGCCAAACGGCAGGACACGACACGAGCGGCAGCGCAGACACGGGGAAGGTTAAGGAAACTCTGCCGGAGCTCTCCAAGGAAGCTGCTAGAGAACAGCCTGCAGACACCGAAAAGCTTGGAAACCCCTTGTGTCAGGAGTAAGGTTTAGGCACACGCGTAGATCCATCTCTGCAGTTTGCTTAAGCATCTGTGCTTACTTTTAAGCATATGCTTAGACCTAATTGAAGTCCAGGGTTTTAAGCACCCGCTTAAATGTTTCACTAAATCATTGCTGGAGCTCAGCTCCCACCAGCAGCCTGCGTCCCACCGGAGGGCTTCCCGCCTGCCAATATCCAGTGTCTAAGGCAGACACTTTTGCAATTAATTCTTTGATAAAACGGCCTGAGAAAGCCACACAGCAGCTACCTACACCAGTGATTTATTTTCCTGTTCCTGTGTTTTGCATCAGCATCGACTACGTCTACGGCCATGCTCCTCTTCGCTCGGGCAGCAGCCGTACGCTTGTGAGCCGCTTCCTTCCCACTGTTTCCTCCGCAGAGCTTCCACGAGCCCTCATCCCGCCGGGAAGGCTCCGGCTCCCGCACGTCTCCGATGTCTCCAGACGCTTCCCAGGCGCACACAGCGTCCCCGAGCGCAGCCGCTCCACGGCCTGGCCCCACAGGGCAGATCTGCAAAGAGAAGCGCCTTCCCCTGCTGATTTTTCCCRGTGAATCCCAACGCGAGCGTCGCTCTTCCCCTCGCTTTCCTGACCGGGAGCAGCCGAACACGTTTCCTCGAGCGTCGCGGCGGCTGGAGAGCGAAGGGCCGTAATGGCAGCCCGCGACGGAGCCCTAATCAAATCGAGGTCTCTAGCGCGGCGGCGCCGTCTGAGCCAGCTTCCCTGAACGTCACAGTTTGAGTCTAAAACATCCCTGTAATGGTGAGAAATTACTGGTGGCATCTCCTCCCAGGAAGGCAGAGCCGCCAGCGCGTTAAAACTGCAGCCGCAGCCGATGGACCCGCTACCCACGAGCGGCCCAGGTGGRCACAGATGGGTCCCGCAGGCCAGGGGAGCAAAGTCAAATCTATTTATCCGTGTCCGAGTGCTGAGGATATCACAGCTGAGGYTTTTTGGAAGACTTCTTGCTTTCTCACGAGCTGCGAGTGCGGTGTGGTGACCTCCCCGGCCTCTGCCATGCTCTGCCTATCACCACCCATCCATCTCCTCCTTAATTGGCCTCGTTCCTGACGAGCCACCAGCTCCTTCAGCATGTGCTTTCTCAAGGTTATTTTCAGTTCTGCAGCATCACCAAAACAGACGTTTGTGTCTCCAGTATTGCAGCAACGGGGCTGCTCTTCCCCAATATTCCTAATTTCTGCTGTTCTGTCCACAAGACACACAGGAGTGGTCACCAGTGTCACCTCTCCAAGGCTCTGSTATTTTTGTCAGCYGCAGCGTGTGCGCCCATGAATTTCAGCGACACAAATGCAGCTTTTCACCAGGGAAACAACTACATTCCTCTGCAATGACGATGCTTTTTCCAGGCTGGAGAAGCCATGGCCAGATGAACCATCCCAAATTTTTTGGAACTGTCTCTAGGAGACACACACACAACCCCAGACATAAGTTCATTGACCATAATTACACGTTACTGCACGGGTGGCTGTTCATTTGCTCCCTGCCCTCGTTAAAGCYGTCAGCGAATCCGCTCCCGTTTCACCCAGTCAAGGACAGTGCCTGATCCCGAGGTTTTATCCATTCCTGCCATCCTCTTAATATTTGCAGCAAAGTGCATTTACAGCAAATCAGCATAGCCAAGGCTGGTTAAAAGGGGAGCACTAATGGAAACCTGAGCTCCTTCCACTCCGTCTGTCTGAGGTTTGCCTGGTAAGATGTGGGTACGTTCCCTGCGAAGACTTGCACCGAACAGCGCGCGTGATAGAAGACCAATTGCTGACATTAGCCGCTGCTTTCCCTTCCTTTGACATTTCGTTAAGGAGTAAATAACAGCAGCAGCTACAAATTTGCTCTCATTGGCGTTTATTCTAAGTGAGCAGCTCCAAGGGAGACGTCTCCCATTCCCAGGGATGCTCCAGCCCGCGCAGAGCGGGTCGGTGCTGCAATGGGTTTGTGTTTTCACACGTGGTTTCCACCACGCTGCTCCCTGGGGCTGTGTGTGCAGCTTGCAGCCCTGCCAGGGGGATTACACCTAACGCTGCTGGCCCTAAATAGCACTTTCCAGGCACTAATCTGCAAGGGCTTTTGCAAGCGGAGCAGAGCTTGGCCTCCTTATGCCCCACTGCTGTGGGGCTGACCCCAAACTAACCTGGACCTTGGGGTGACATCTTATTCCAGCAGCCGATTTCTAATTTATAGGAGTGCTTAAGATTTAAATTAATCCAGTCATTACCACTTTGTTAATGAGTCAGTTAACATGCTTTGAGATCTGTGGAGAAACGGCGTTATAAAAATATACAGTATAAATACCGCAAAGCCAAACYATATCTGACTGTACCGGTATCCAGCTGGAGCGGCTGTTGGTCRCAGGGGTTGTCTCCTCGCTCGGTCACTATGTGATCCGTCCCTTCCTTCAGCTGCAGCAGTTGCCCTTGTGCCCAGGACTGTCTCAGGCACCACCGTGYATCCCCTCAACCCCAAGGGGCAGCCCTAGTCGCTCCAGAAAGCGGCATCAGGCTGAAGATCTAAAATAAAAGTTGCCATGAAACACGTTTTTTGGGGAAGAGGTGAATCCCTGGGAAGCTRCTCTTAGGCTGGAGCCGCATCCCAGCCAGCTTGTACAGCTGGGACGACAACTGAATGCACCAGCCCTCCATCCCTGGCACTAGCAAGATCCTCCCATGCTCTCCCTAACCTTTATAGCTTTATAACTTGAATTTTCTTTTTGCTACCTCTTTAGCATCAAGTTCTCAAGCTATTCTCCCCTCTTTGTAGCCTCACTCTTGTTGCCCMATCACAGATAAAATCAGGCAGACGGCTGCTCCCACCCAGCTGCCAATGCTGATGGAAAGACAGCCCAGGGCAACGAGCAGCAGCAACTTAATTGCAATCAAGGCCTGGCAGGCTCGTGAGCGGGTCCGAGGGGCTGGCGCCTGGCYGTGCTGTAGCCGGAGCGGTGTTGGGGAAGGTTGCATGGAAATTTGGGCATTGCCGGCACTATCAGGGTGCACGGACCCCCTGTACCGGTCCTGGGCGCTGTGGAGGCTGGTTCAGGAAATCTCCTAATCTCTAGTAATTAGAGCTCGTTTAAACCTTGCAGTGTAAAACTTAGTGTCCCTTCCCAGATTTTGTGTATTAGTTAGCCYGGTTCTGTACGTGCCTGAGCACCAAGGAGATCTCGCTTCTCTTGGCAGCYCTGCACAATTTTGCGCAGGGCAGTGCACAGCTTAGCTGCTCTCTGTAGCCCGTGCTGCCACATGTGGATAATTCAGCTAAAATTTGAGACTGACAGAGCTCCCAGGCCTTGCCTTGGCAGCAAATGAACCTGCAAATGAGGCAGGAGCTCGTTAGAGGAGCAACCTCCCTCCCGTTGTGCTCACGGTGCAGGCAAGAGTTGCTGTGTACATGCTGTCCCTGAATCACATCCCTCTTCCTCCAAGGGGAAATAAAGGCTTCCCTGATCAAGGAGGACGCTGAGCTGGGGAACTGAGAAATTCAAGGGTGAGGGATGGAAAAATCCACCTCCAGCGGGTGAACAGCTTCCAGGGGAGATGGAGGGAGCCAGGACCATCTCCAGCAGGTGAACAGCTCCCAGGGGAGATGGAGGGAGCCAGGACCATCTCCAGTGGGTGAACAGCTCCCAGGGGAGATGAAGGGAACCAGGACATCTCCAGCGGGAGAACAGCTCCCAGGAGAGATGAAGGGAGTCAGGACCATCTCCAGTAGGAGAACAGATCCTAGGGGAGATGAACAGTCCTGCGGAGGGGCCCAAGCTCTTCCTATTGCTGAGGGACCACGGAAAAGCCCTGGGCTCACGTGAGATCTCGCTGCAGAGGGCTGAAACACCAAGGTGAACCCAATTCCACCGGCCACAGCCCTCCCCCAAACCGAGGAGCCAGTTCCCAAAGTTTCTCATTTTCCGTAGTCCGTTGGACCAAACTGATTTGGCAAGTGCAAATCTAATTCATGAATAGTTTAGTTCCACGSGATATGTCTTATTTCATGGTGAATTTATTATTCACTGAAAAAAATTGCTCTGCTTTAATGCAGGCAGAGAGGAAAAGTTATCCCTTGTGCTCCTTCTCCAGTGGCTTCACTGGGTTCAAAGCTTTTAGCYGGATAAAATCGCTGGGTACAACTTCTGAGGACACAGCTGAGAGAGATAGTTAGCTGATATTGATTTTAATTGGAGTTTCCCAGTGTAAAGACAGTGGGACCGAGCC